GGAAGAGACCTACAGGCATCAATGCTAATTGGCTCATACAACACTTATTCCAGCTCCTTAGAGCAGTCAGAGAAGCCATATAAAACATTGTATTTCCCAGAATCTCTTTTGCTCAGATACTTTATGTGATTGGAGCTCTGCTATCAAACTTTACCCTTTTGAAACTTTAATATGGAAGTGAATCAAATGGGAAGAAGTTTAGAATGTAGGGCATCCATTTTGCTGCAGGGGCTGGTGACACACTGTCATTCCTGATCAGTAGCTGGGCATCTGCGTCCTGATGGCAGATACCTTCCTGTTTAGCAGAGGTGATATGATTCTTAAGCTACCAGCTAGAGCAGTTTCTGTATTCTAAATTGGACTTCCTGATTCAGTGGCTGCCTGATCATGGAAGAGATAGCAGCTTCATAATGTTTCAAATTCTTGACTAGAACACTGGCAGTATCTTCCCTGAGGGCTCGGTTCTGCTATATGGATTTGGTCATAGTTCCTGGAAATGCAAATAAGTCTCTTTCTTCAGTTCTCAAAACACGTCTGTAAGTAATCCATTTAGCACCTTACAGGATAAAACCTTTTTTCCAGGATGGAATCTGTTATCTTAAACTGAACCCTCACTAACATACTGCCCAATTTACCTTGAAATTGAAACTAAAGATAATACAAGATAAGGATAATAAAACGATAATACAAGAATGGAAAATGGTGTGTGAATGTCACTTATAAATAAAGATTTAATAACCTAAATAAAATATTAATGAATCAAATCCAGCATGGAAGAGATAAACATAGAGGGAATCAAGTAGATTTTATTTCAGAAACTCAAAAATGTCTGAAACACAGAAAACCAATTGATGTGATTCACCACATTTGTAAATTAAATGAATAACATAATTATTTTAGTTAATAAAAAATGCATTAGAAAAAATGCAACACACATTCATGAGGGTTTTTTTTTTTTTTTTTAAATAGCAAAACAAGAATAGAAGAAAATGGGCTTATAGATCTGAAACAAAAGTTGGAGTTTTTTTTTTTTTTAAAAAAAAAAGAAAGAAAAAGAAGAAAAAGGGCCTTAATTAAAATTAAAAAAAAAAAAAACCTTCCACAAACATCTTATGTAATGATAAAATACTAGAAATATTCTTTTTAGAGTCATAAACACACATGTCCATTATAGCCACTGATTTTCAGTAATGTACTAGTGCACTCAGACAATAACATCTAAAAAGAAAAATAAATAAGAATCATAAGTACTTTAAATAATGAAGGATTTTATCCATATTTTTCTTTGCCATCACTGAGTAGCAATAAGCCTATTGCTCTTCATGGATGGAATCAATCACCTTTGCCAACACCAGAATTCTCTTTTTGTTTGGTTTGTCCAGTGGCATCAATTGTTCAAAACAGCTAGTTGACAGTGGCCACTGTCAATACAAGTGAACTTTGCTTGTGTCTCCTGGTGGTTCCAGCAAATCTCTTTTAGATATTAAGTAGTATCTCTTAGACGTTAAGATTTCTGAACAAGTAAACTCATGTTCTGAAGACATGATGCAAAAAAATTTATAAGTAGGCATTTGGTGTAGTTTTATGAGCCATCACTTACCATCATTGTTTCTCAAATATACACATTCTATTTATGAGAAAAATAGCCCATGTACTGATTACCAGTTCAGAGCATATCATGCATTATGCAAGACAACATCCTGACTTCCCAAGATATTGCTTTCCTGCCAGGCACTATAGGTGCTAGTCTTCAGTACAACATTTTAACGATCTATAAAGCAGGTGGTAACAGATCCATTGGAAACTCTAAAATAATTACTTGGAGGCAATGCTGTGTGGGATACAATAACTGTTAATAAGACACTCAAAAATTCCAAGAAATAGTGCTGCAAACAAAGCATGGCAGGCAGAGAAATCCAATTGAAATCCTTTCTAGGTACCTGCTCTCTACTTGTCCTAGTCCAGTTTATTGTGCTGTGGCAGAAAGACCTAGGAGTGGCCTGTACAAGTCTCACCTACTGGTATTAACACCCTCCTATAGTCCCCTTCCCGTGAGTATGGTAGGGACTTGTTACTTGCTTCTAACAAGTAGACAGTAGCAAAGGTGATATCACTCTTATGATTACATTATATGGCAAAGATGATGGATGTAATTCTTAGGATTACATTATGTTACTGAAGTCTCCATCTTAGCAGACTGGAGCTAGAAACTCTCCTTGCAGATTAGACTAGCTACATAATTTTGGGGGCCCACTTCAAAAGCAAAGTGTGGGGCTCCTTTTTCAAAAATTACCAAGAATTTCAAAACAGCCACAGAATAGCCTTAAACCAGGTGTGGGGCCTTTTAAGCATAGAGGGAAACACATAGGATGTGTGCCCATATAGCCAGCTTGGCTTGTGGGTTTAATGAAGTAAGCGGCCATGTTCAAAAAGACCACACGTCAAGGAGCTGTGGGCAGCCTCCAGGCAAAAGCTAGCAAAAAGTCAGGACCTTCAATCATATAGCCAAAAACTATGAATTAACTTAGAAATGGATTCTTCCCTAATAGAGCCTCCAGACAAGAATGCCAGTATGGCCAGCACCTTCCAACAAACTTGGCAAAGAACTCAGCTAGCCATGTCCAGACTTGTGACATGTGGAAATAGTGAAATAATAAATGTGTTTTGTTACCAACAGCTAATTTTGTGACAATTTTTGTGCAGCAATAGAAAACTAATGGAGATGTCACATAAAAGATTCATGATAAGTTCCTACTGTTGGCAAGGTTACCATTCAGCATTGGTGGTAACCATGTTAGCCTTCAGGAATAAAAATTGATATTGTTGAGTTCATGCATGGCTTCCATCCCTGCAAGACTGGCAATTTTTAATAAGCCTATTAAGAAAGCAACGGTGTGGTAATGGATAGAGGGTAACTGACAGCCTCTCTGATTATTAAAAGCTTCCTCCATGGTAAAGTCTTTTTGATGAGCTTTCACTTGGGACAATATTCTCGTATTCTGGATCCTATCTATCTCGTATCAAGGATAGATAGGAAGATATCTATCCTTGTATTTTACTTTTCAAATTTCTTATTTCTAAGACTTTAATCTTTCTCCTTCTAGTTCCACTAGCCAGTGACCATAAATGAGCATAGACTCTTGACTCAGGCAATGGTTTTTGTAATAACTGGAAAATACCTGGAATATTCTAAATTCTACCTATCAAAAGGAATTAATTTTTCATGGTCCTTAAGAGCTAACCCTGATTAGACTTATAAGAAGGTGTAGTCTACTTTCACCTGGTGCCAGCAAATTAGGCTGACTCACCTGTTAACCAAGGTCAGTGACATAGGTCATAGGTAACTTATCATTAGGCCATAAATGAAGTTGAGAGAAAAATGGCAATGTGGCAGAAGTAGCGCACTCAGAATATGAATCATATGCACATGTACCATTCTTGTGCCTCTAGATATTCTCCAGCCCAGTTCCACATATACTACTTCCTTTTGATAGTGGACTACTACTGGGCATGACTAACTTGGTGCTCTGATTGATAACATGGTTCATCATGGTCAGCTCAGATCAAGTAGTTATGTGGACTAATGGTCAGGATTTACTGTCTATAATTATGGTAATCACACCAATTTGCCTTAGTGATTAAGTACTCTAATTTCTGTCAACCTAGGATCTTCATACTCTCACCGAAATTAAGGGTGCCCTCAAGAGGTATTCCTAATTCATTTCTTTTCCGACAGTGTATTGTTCTGTTGCCCAAGATGGAAGGAAATGGCACAATCATAACTCACTGCGACCTCAACCTCCTAGGCTCAAGTGATCCTCCTGCCTCAGCTTCTAGCTGAGACCACAAGCACAAGCCACCAATCCCAGCTAATTTTATATTTTTCATAGAGATGCAGGTCTTGCTATGTTGCCTAGTCTGGTCTCAAATTCCTAGCCTCAAGCAATCCTCCTGCCTCAGCCCCTCAGAGTGCTGGGATTATAGGTATGAGTCACATCGCCAATGTAATGTGTTTCTTGTTGTTGCTTTTGGGGCAGCCTCCTGAGCCAGAGATGGCTCAGAGAGACTCTCAAATTGTTTGTTTGCTTGTTTGTTCATTTTTAAAAATAGAGACAAGGTCTTACTATGTTGTCCAAACTGACCTCAAACTCTAGGCCTCAAGTGATCCTGCTACTTCGGTCTCTCAAAGTGCTGAGATTACGGGAGTGAGCCACTGCACCCAGCCTACTGTCTAATGTATTTCTAACGGATTTGGTGAAGAGGTTATCTCTTGAACGCTCTTGAGGGATTTTATTTAGGAGTGAGAAAAGCAGAATGCAGACAACAAATTAATCCAATATTTCTACCTCAAGATTTCTACCCAGGTCTTTTAATTATTTTATTAATATCTTTTCTTCTTTATAGCAGGTCCATTTCTGTTCATATCAGCTATGGTCTAGATTTCAGTTAACCAAACAAGAAAATAATTTAAACTACTCCCATTTGTTTAAGCTAGGATATTAAAAGCCTAACTTCTGACAAGGTTATTCATATTGGTAACTTCAGTTACTGCTTAAATTACATTCTTGCCTTACTTATATCTATAAATTAATGAAATCTTCTTTTCATCACTGAACTAAAATAATATTTTTCTTAAATTATTTTAAAGTATTAACTGTATTATCCTGGGGGTGATGCTATAATTTCACTCCCCTTATATAAGTTCAAGCTAAAGATCTGGTTTTCATTATTGGTCTAGACATAGTGAGTGTTAAGAGTAGAGTACTCACGCCTGTAATCCCAGCACTTTGGGAGGCCAAAGTGGGCAGATCACGAGGTCAAGAGATTGAGACCATCCTGGTCAACATGGTGAAACCCCATCTCTACTAAAAATACAAAAATTAGCTGGGTGTGGTGATGTGCGCCTGTAGTCTCAGCTACTCGGGAGGCTGAGGCAGGAGAATTGCTTGAACCCAGGAGGTGGAGGTTGCAGTGAGCTGAGATCGCGCCACTGCACTACTGCGTGGCACCTGGTGATGAAACAAGACTCTGTCTTAAAAAAAAAAAAAAAAAAAAGCAGAGTGAGAAGAGGACTGGCTTCCTCCTGCAAGATGATCTTCTTAGGTAAGGTTGTGACAGGGTTGTAAAGCAAGGTAAGAAAATCTCATGAGTCAAATGAAGGTAAGAGCTTCTGCAGGCAAGGGAGTCTCTATGAAGAGGATTCAGTATTTTCTGAGTAAACAAAATTAAATCCTTTCATGTACCCCATTTTAGTTTGGGGGACACTACTCTTTGATTATCAAACTCCAACTTTCACATATTACACCAGGTAAGACAGAGAATTCAGCTGAGTTTGGAACTGGGAAACTTACATAATTAAACATTGAATTTGATCTTTGACTATCTCAACCCTGTGGCTGCAAGAAAGAAGATATTCTTTTAGCTCGTTTTCAATTTATGCCCTAAATTAGAATTTTGAGAATGTCATTCCTTTTTTATTTTGTTGTTTAGCTTCTTTAGAAATAACACCTCTAGCCCATTCCTGATGCCAATTTTTATCAGTCAGCATTTTTAGCTAGAAACAAAAAATAACCAAGTTCAACTGATGAAGGCAGAATAGGACATTATGACAAGGATTTGAGGGTAGTTCACGGAATCTTTAGGAAGCCTAGATAATTAGGGGCAGGGCTTTGCACCAAAAACAATGCTCAAAATCACACAATAGAAATGCTCTGAGAACTCCACTGTGGCCTTCACCAAATAAAAGTTGTTGCAACCTGCACTGCAACAACTTTTTTTTGGCTCTGTGTACTAAATGCCACCAATAGCATGGCTTCCATTATTGCTACAAAGTTTAGTTCTCCTGCAAAAATCAACACAGCTGTACAGAGTCCTCTCTTCTGATGCATTGGCTTTCAATTCCAAGTAGAAAAGCAACACCATGTGCCCACATCCTAGGTGCAAAGGAAGCTCAGGAAGCAAGTATTTGACATTTTCAGTGTTTATAGTGGAAAACCTGGTCGACCTCCCAACATGCTCATAAAACGGAAAGTTCCCAAAACATATAGTTCCCAAGGCATATTAATGATCAGCCCATAAATGACAAATGTTATGTGTGATTAAAACTGTTTGTACCATATGTACCCCATGATACATAAATAACAATCTCTAGAATTTCTACTGCAATTCTCACACATGTGCAAGACAAAAGCAAAGACTTTTGAAGCATTATATGTAATAGCAAACATGTGAAAAGAAATCAAATTAGAGGATTAGGTAAAATAGGTTGTGATATGTTAATATGATTGTTTATTCAGGTATTGAGAAACTGAGGATTTTATGCATACGAATTTTTTAAAGACTGCCTTTGAAGTGCTCCCAAAGAAGTGGGAGGACAGACACATATCACTAGAACATGTGTAATGCATCAAAGCCTCAAATGAATATGGGGCTGAGGTGGTGTTATTAGAAGAATCTGCCTGTGCTTGTGGAAAGGACATCACAGAGGAAAAAGATTCATATGTAATTTAGGATTTAAAAGATACACAAGAATGTATGATGTAAAAGAGGAAGGGTAAATTCCAGGCAATACAAATTATATTTTTAAAGTCACTAAATGTGTTATAGTACAATGTTTTTCTGAAAAATAAATGTGTGTCGCGTTTGATATTAAACAAACAGGACTTGATAGCAGTGTTGTAGCGTGACGGAAAACCTCCAGGAAGAAATTTTAAGTTTCTAGGAACTTCCCTTCAACCTCAAATTAAAGTAAAACAAAAAGTTAATGAAATAGCACATAACACTCCAAACTGCCATGGTCACATTACATCATTGAAAGACTTTTCTACAAAAAACAGTTATAATTTGGCAAATCAAAAATAAAGAATTTCTTCACAGAAAACCACTAATACTGTGGAGTTACTTTTCCATCTTAAAAAAAAAAAAAAAAAAAAAAAAAAAAAAAAAAAACTTTTGAAAATGTTGCCATCTAGTGGCTTCAAACTAAAAAAAAATTAACTATACCGATGTGAATCATTTAACCATGTTTCCTAGGAAAAGTTTCCTTAGCAGTTCTTAAATAAGCAAATATTACATTTGTGCCTCTGATTTAAGAGAAGGCGTTCAATTTAGGCTACTAGGTTTCAAACTTTTGCTTCATCATTTACTAGCTGGATGACCCCAGGCAAGTTGCTTAATCTCTGTAAAATGAGCATAATAATAATATCTACCCGCCAGAGTTGCTGAGAATTAATGAGAAGATCATAATAAAGTTGTCTAGCGCAGCATTTTACTCATATTACACACCCAATGGGTAATAATAATTGTATTACTTAAGTGGGAAAGAGTTGCAAAACAAGTGGGCTGTTAGTGGGATTGAAGTTTGAGTGATACAGCATTTAAAATTACAGTACTTTTATTGGCAGTTTGGGTTACAGCATTATAGGTTGTTTTTTTTTTTTTTGAAGTAGTAGAAACATTGTACTGGTATATTGTTGCTATGTAGATAGCAGTTACCAATAACTGGCATTCTCTAATTTTGAAAGATCCTTGGATCAAATTATGATTACATTTTACTATCACAATATTTGTAAAATCCAGTTCATCTCTAATTTGATATCTTGCCTGTTCTATAAGAAAATATACATCTTTCAATGAAAGCATATATGGAAGTGGGGGAAAAGGTAGCTTTACCCGTTGTTTAAAAAAACATTGAGGCTCATACTGAATGCAATCAGCCTTAAAACTTCCTGTCATGGAGACAAGTCAGATGAAAATGGTTCTCTCTATTTATGATATCATTTGAGCCATATAGTATTGCTATGACTTATTTTATTCTTCAAGACAGTCCTTGAGACTGTTTAACTTAATTTCACCTGTCCAAGAAGCAGAAACATCATGATTGTTAAAATGTGTTTGACAAATATGTCTCTTGAGATTTCCAATGATATGATGATAAAATGTTTATGATATCACCATTGAGAATTTGCAGTTAGTCAATCAGCAATATTCATAGTATTACTGGGCTGGGATCAATCTTGGGGGAAAAAAAGCATTCCACAAAAGTCCATCATGAACATGCCTTCTTGAATGTTTTTATCAAAAATGTGGATAAATTGAAAATTTGTTTCTTCCAAATTGTAGAATATTTTGAATGGATAGGTTTTGTAGGCAGCTTTTAAGACGGTTCTAGTAATTCCTGCCATTCCAGGCTTCACACCTTTGTGAATCCCTTTCCCTTGTGTGTGAACTGCACATAGGAACTCACTTCTAATCAATATAATGCAGCATGACTGATGGGTGTCACTTCTGAAATTAGGTTACAAAAACCCTGTGGCTTCCCTCTTGCAAGTTCTTTCTTCCTCCCTCTTGCTGACTAACTGTGATGTAAACTAGTTACTAAGTTGTGAACTGCCCACCTGGCAAGGAACCAAGGGAAATCTCTGGCCAACAGTCTATTAGGGATAAAATCCTGCCAATAACCACATGAGAAACTCATAAGCAGATTCTATTTCTGTCAAATCTTCTGATGAGACTGCAGCCCCAGCCAACTGCTTTATTATATTCTGGGAAAGAACTCAAATCAGAGGTAACCAGACAAATCAATGCCCTGGATTCCACACCTACATAAACTGTTAAATAAAATATTTGGTATTTTAAGCCACTAAATGGTAGGGCTACTTGTTACACAGCAATAGATAACTAATACAGTTCAACAGAGATTGGCAAATTACAACCTGTGGGCCAGATCTGGTCTGTGGCCTGTCATTGTATGGCCCTTGAGCTAAGAATGGTTTTTATGACTAAAAGAGTTTTTTGTGTTTTATTTAAAAAAGAAAAGGAATACTACATTAAAAAGACGCAGAGCCCACAAAGCCTAAAATATTCACTAGCTTTTTACAGAGAAAGCTTTATAACTCCTGCAGTAAATAATATGACCAATGACAGAATCAAGATTCAAAATGATTGCCTTAACTGACTAGAATAAAGAAATCAAGTAAGTGAGATAAAACTTGGCCATCATTAATAAAAAGTTCTGTTCTTAGGTTCAAAAATTCTATCTCAGAGTTATAGGATAATGGTTATGTGAAAAAGATTGGCAGATTTTAGTGGATTCAAGGCTCGCAAAGAACTAAAATATAATGTGATACTTAAAATAAAAGTTAATGTAATCTAACTTTGCATTAACATCCAGCCGATAAAAAAAGTTAGCTCAAAACTACCCTATATGAGTCAGAGCATATGTGAAGTATTTTAACATGAATCATTTAAAACTGTTTAGAGACATTGGAAATGGTATTTGTATAAGGCTCCTCAAATGTATTTCCTTAACTTATTGCAAAATACATTTTTTTAAACCAGCATGGTAGGTGAAACCACTGGTATCCAAAATTATGCATTTTATCTGTAGTAATCTCCATATTTTTAAACTCAGCTCTTCTTTTGATATCTATTTGTATTTTTAACAGATATATATGTTTTTTTTCTTTCTGTTTTCTTTACGTGTATTCCCAAAAAAAGCAGGGGAAAGGAAAGGCAACCAAGGATGTACATGTCTTTGGAGAATGGAAGTAGGAAGTGGGAGGTTGGTGTATTTAAGTGTGTTTGGTCCTACGTATCTTCTCTAATCTCTTGAAATTTGGTCTGTTTCTGTCTATTTATATTGGCCTATGCTATACACATGTGTGTGTATATATATATATCCCTGCAAATATATCCCAGAGCTTTGAGGTAAAAGACACGGCACAATATAATGCTTCTAGAAACAAGCAAAAAGCAGACCTTCACTAATTCTGAATTCACATTTTTGCATGTTATGAATAAGGAGCATAGAGACTAACCAAATTGTTACAGCTTGAGTTGAAAGTGTTCTGAAGGTTAACTGGAGATACGATGTACCCATAGATAGAATTAGCAACATTCATTCCTTATTTACAGTAAAATCTATTGTCTCCTCACTTTTCTAGAGAGCTACTTTAGTTTATTTTAACTTAATAGGTCACAATTCCTTGTTGTTTACTGTTATCCCAGAGAAATTGTTCTAAATGTGTCAAGCAGTGCCTGACTCAGATTCAGCGGCTTCTTCAGCTTCCACGCCAGCCAGGAGGACAATCAAAGAGGAGTGCTGACAAAAACAGACTTTAGTGCTAAAGACTGAAAAGCAGAACTGTGGAGGCACTAATCAATTTCCTCTGAGGAAGAGTATTTCTGCCTCAAAATGTGAAAAGTGACTGCTATTTTCATACTCTAGAGGGAGGTACAGACTCGCACTAAACTGACTCAGTATGGTGAAAGACAAGACAGATTAAAAGAAAAGATGTAACACACAAGGGAGAATAGAGAATCCCAATGATAACACTTCTGCTTATATTAAATCACAATTTGAATGAAATTACTTAAATACTTAACGGTTAAAATGTAACTCTCCAATCTCTATTTGGGTAATACTCACATTTGACTTTCTTTTGTTCTACAAGTCCAACACTGGTAGCTTTCAACGAAAAACTTCTTTATATTTAAATCATATATCACGATATTCTATAAAAACTTTTAACCACCAAAGGTTTAGGTGGAAATCATCATGTGTTAAGCCTCTTAATTGTAAGTGCCTCCATAAGAAATCTATTTCTTATAAATTTAAATTTGGCTTCCAGGAGATGCAAGGGGAAAAGAAGCTTTTTAAGTTATTCTAATAGTTTAGTAAAAAGCAACACAAAAACAGTAAATCAATAGATTGGTCTGCTTGTTAGAAAGAAAATTGAAAACATACATGGCCATTGTATTTGTTGATTTGTACAAAGTAACTCAACAGAGATTATTTGAAGTCTTCTATATGTTATAAGTCTTCTCAATGCTCAATAGCAGGTCCTATTGGACAGGTCCAGAAAATACTCTTTTTGGCATGAGATACATAGTTTTGTGGCTATTGCACCTTCACTTTAAATGAGTTTTCTCAGCTACCATGTACTGGCCATAACAGATTCAAGGGCCAATTAGAGACGAAATACTTCCAAAATTAGTATTGCTTGATGTCCATTTTATCATTTATTATTATAAATATGTTATTATTTGTATTATTTTATATTATTAAATATTATTATAAAATTTTATATCCATATAACACTGAATTTGCCTTTATTCTTCTGATTTTATGAAGTAAACAAACAAAATGGCAGTAAAGAAAAAGAAATGATTAGCATGCCCACCACTAACTCAGTCACTATTTCTTTTCCCTTGTTTCCTTATTATTGTGCCCATATTCATGTATAGTTTAGATTGTTGCTTTCATAATAGACAAAAAGTTATGCTTTAGCTTTTTCACTAAAATTATATTAAAAATGCCTTTCTACTTGCTGCATGGACTCATAATTAACATCTCAATGTACAGACACTCAGAGACTGTATAAATGAGAAAGTGTATCACCTGTGGAAAGCCAGGCACCATACACAAGGTGCCACTTACCTTGGCAAATTCCTCACTGTCCCTCCATCCTTGCAGGCGAGACAATTTGTTCTCTGTCCCAGAATTGATAGAACTCAAGGATATCAATTTTAGCAAGCCTTAAAGAGAGTGAAAAATGATGAAACTACAATAGCAATTTACAAATTTACATTGAGAAGTATGCCCATCAACTTTACCTCCCTGTGTTTGCTTTGACTTATCACACTTTCTCCCTCTAAGCAAGCTACATGGATGTCTAATAATAAGGAGGTTGACTGATCAAGTTGGCCTCCAAACAAAAGGAGTCTCTAATATAATTTGAATGCCTGTCCCCATATTAGCTTCAAGCACTTCAAAGCAAGATAAAGTCCTAGTCAATGCTGGATGGGCATGCCTGTTTTGTCTTCAAGATGCCTTCTTTTCATTGTTGTTGTTTCCATTATTTGGCAACCTTGCCCTTAATTGACACATTCTTTCATTGAATGTGCCGGTAAATTCATTCTAGTTACAATTTTATACTTTGTGCTTGGGAGCCATTCTCTCTCTTCTGCCTTAATCCACCAGTATGCTTTGATTTTACTGCCTCCCTCTTGAAAAAAAGGAAGAAAGGAAGGGAGGAAGGCAGGAAGGGAGGGAGGGAGGGAGGGAAAGAAAATGAAAGAAAAGAAAGAAAGAAAGAGGAGAGGAGAGAGAGAGAGAGAGAAAATTTATATATATATATAATTTTTCTTAAACCTTAGTTATTGTGAAATACCTCGCTTTTTTTTTTTTTTTTTTTTTTTTTTTGGGTAGACAGAGTCTCACTGTGTTGCCCAGGCTGGAGTGCAGTGGCATGATCTCAGCTCACTACAACCTCCTCCTCCCAGGTTCAAGCAATCCTCATGTCTCAGCCTCCTGATTAGCTGGGACTACATGCAAGCATCACCACAACCAGCTAATTTTTGTATTTTTAGTAAAGACAGGATTTTGCCACGTTGGTGTGACTGGTCTGGAACTCCTGGCCTCAGGAGAAGGACTCCTCCTCCTTCCAAAGTGCTAGGATTACAGGCATGAGCCACCACACCCGGCCAAACACCTCTGTTGTCCTTCATGTATCTCAAACATTACAGGCATGAGCCACCACACCCGGCAAAACACCACTGTTGTCCTTCATGTATCCCAAATATTTCCTACACACTGCAGTGCAATATTCCATTGAGTTTCTACATCACAATTCATTTAAGCAATTCTCTATTATTGGCCATTTGTAATTTTTCTTTCCCATCCTATGAAATTATAATGCATATCATATTTTCTTCTTTAACATTTTTCACAAGGATTTATATAATTCTTGTATTAGAATCAAAGGGAGAGGATCCTGTGTAACTTTTTATGTTCACTGCCTAATAACTTCACAAATGGTTTAAGCAGTTTATACTGATGGCAGTAAATATAACAATTTCAATTTAATCTCATTTTAGTCATTTTATTTTTCTGAAATATTTGCTATGTTAATAGGAATAAAAGTATCTTATTTCGAGCTATATTTTAATTACTATTGAAACTGAACATTATGAATCTCCTTATTAACTCTTTGTTAAATGAGTCAAATAGTCTGTTATTTTTTAAGAAGGTATTAAACTAATCACTCTGTATGAACTGTCTTATGACATAGATACTGTTTTTGTCAATATTGAGGGTAATATTTTCTAATTAATTATTTTAATTTAAAATATTCAGATCATTAATGTTTTATAAACCTTTTCAAATTGTAGATGAACCATTTTTTTATTTTTTAAATAAAATCTTCCTCAGTATTTTAAAATATCAGATTTGTCATATATCTGATATTATAATCATTAAAATAAATGATTACATATAGTCAGCTCACCTCTCCAGTGTTGCATAGATTTTTCAACCATCCTTAATAATGAATCAAGCCCAAACTCTATGCTAGGTTCTGATCAAACTTAGACATTCTGCAGTGTAATGTGTATATTTCCAATCCTTGTATTCCCATGTTCTAAAAACAGAAACGTATAGATTTAAATATATGCCACCCAGGGCAACAAAGAGAGTCAACTATGCAAAGGCAAGTCTTTTCCTGTTAGTCCGGTATCGTCTATGTCACTAAAAGTCATGCTTGTCTCTAAGTTGTCACAATGTGCATAAGTGGCATAGTTCATGCATGTAGAAAAGTGAAGTGTAGCCAGGCGCGGTGGCTCACGCCTGTAACCCAGTACTTTGGGAGGCCAAGGCAGGCGGATCACAAGGTCAGGAGTTCGAGACCAGCCTGGCCAAGATGATGAAACCCCGTCTGTACTAAAAATACAAAAATTAGCTGAGCGCAGTGGCACGAGCCTGTAATCCCAGCTACTCAGGAAGCTGAGGCAAGAGAATTGCTTGAACCTGGGAGGTGGAGGTTGCTGTGAGCCGAGATCGCACCATTGCACTCCAGCCTGGGTGACAGAGTGAGACTCCGTCTCAAAAAAAAAAAAAAAAAAAAAAAAAAAAAAAAAAAAAAAAAAAAAAAAAAAGGGAAAAAAAAAAAAAAAAAAACATGATAGAATAACAAGAGACCCTGTATTAACAACTAAAATAATTAAGGCACTTTGGGATGAGAACAACTAGAATTTTAAAAGGGAAAATTGCTGCAATATCTCACTCTTTAAAGTAACAGGAGTTAAAATTGGGGGTTCAGGCTGTGAGGTGGGGAAAAAAGTGAAATACTATGTCTACCCTATTATTGGGTCCAACCATGACTATGTTTAAATAATCCTGGTATTCACCCAGTGTAGTCAAATCACCTTGGAAGGCAATGCGTTTTAAGTCTCAACTACCCTCACAAACATAGTTAGAGGTGGAATTTCACACCTAGAGTTAGACAATACAGTTGTTTATGATAGCAAAGACCTAGAATCAACCCAAATGCCCATCAATGATAGACTGGACAAAGAAAATGTGGCACACATACACCATGGAATACTATGCAGCCCTAAAAAAAAAACGACGTTTGTGTCCTTTGTAGAGACATGGATGAATCTAGAAAACCATCATTCTCAGCAAACTGAGACAAGAACAGAAAACCAAACACCACATGTTTTCACTCATAGGTGGGTGATGAACAGTGAGCGTACTTGGGCACAGGGAAGGGAACAACACTCACTGGGCTAGGTGGGAAGGTGGAGAGCAGGGGAGGGGAGGGGAGGGGAGAGACAGCACAGTGCGGGGCAGATGGGGAGGGATAACACTGGGAGAAATGCCTGATGTAGGTGGGGGGGAGGGGGGAGGGGTGGATGTGGCATGTATGTACTTACACAACAATTCTGCAGGATGCAGGATGTGCACATGTACCCCAGAGTCCAAAGTACAATTAAAAAATATATATATAAATTAAAAAGAAAAAGCGATACAGTTTTTCAGTAAACAAACCCCAATAGAGGGCTTTGTTTGCAACAAAAAGTACTGCAGTCATGCCCCTTGTAACATTTTGGTCAATGATGGCCCTCATATATAACAGTGGTCCCATAAGATAGCAATACTGTATATTTACTGTAGCTGTTCTATGTTTACGTATGTTTAGATACATACAATTACCATTGTGTTGCAGTACAGAAACATGCTGTACAGGTTGGTAGACTAGAAGCTCTAGGCTATATCACATATCCTAAGTGTGTAGCGAGCTGTACCACCTAAATTTGTTTGTACTATGTATACCACTCTATTATGTTTGTACTATAACAAAAATCACATTTCTCAGAATGTCTTCTTGTTGTTAAGATGTATAACTGTATTTGCCTTGTGAACATGGAACCAACAGAAAGCATTAAAAGTTACTGATTGACATAAGTTGATTTTCTTATTTTGGGTTTCACACAATCCCTAAAACCCTGATTGAAGAAAAGATTTTTAAAAGAGAAATCTGCCAAAAAATATATTAAAAGAGTTTTGATAAGCACTTGTAACTTAAATTCTCAGTAAGACATGATTTGCTCGTAAATATCCTGTGGAAAGTAAATAGCTTTTTAAACATCTATTTTTGTTTTTAAAATATAAAATCATAATGGTCACGCCATAAATTTATCTGAAAAAAATATACAATTTTCTGTTATTTACATGTATATGATCTTCAGTTAAAAAACAAACAAAATTTCGGCCTTTCAACTTTATGCATTAAAATAATAATTTTTTTCATAAATGTTTCATAATGCCCTTTTCTACATGTACTAATTTCAAGTTGAAGGTTGAGACAGAAGGGGCTGTGTCGAAGTTGTTCAAACTGTTGCCAATCTAATCTTTTTTAAAAAATGTTAACAATGAGTCCCTATTCCCAGCCACCTCCAGTCTAAACTTCTTCTCAGGGTCCTAGAGTCTCTGTATCTGGGCCTAACTTTCTACTTTGTTTCCCATAATCCTGAGTGCTTTTCTTCTATCCTGGTTAGGTTTACCAAGTTCATCTACTCAATAAATATATGTTGAATGCTTACCATGTGCCAAGCATCGTAATGGAATAATGGTGAAGGCACCAGAATCAAGCAGATCAGGTTAAAATATAGGTTTTACCTCTTACTGTGAGGTTCCTTAACCTGCATTTGCCTTTGTTTCTTATCTGTTGAAAAGGAACAATAAAGCATCATAGGTTTGTTGTAAAGATTAAAGGAAAGAATGCACATCAAGTGCATAGAACAGTTCCTGACACATGGCCTCCACAAATGTCAGATGTTGTTATTAGGGAGCTTACAGTGAAATAGGAAAACAAAAAATTAAAACCAAATTGGGTACTATTTCAGGGGAAGTTCAGGATGTTATGAAAGGGACAAAAGAGGCAACTACTTTATCGGAACAGGTTTCCTAGAAGAAGAAACCCTAAAATATAAGCAGAAGTCTGCTTGGTGATAGGAGAAATGAGCAGTCTACAGATGAAGAGCTATATGAGAAAAGGCCCAGAAATGCATTAGCATGATACTTACAAAAAAACAGAGAAATTCAGTACAGCTGAGGAATGAGAGATAAGGCCAGAGAAAAGGAGCAGGATTCTTTAAGAAATGTTGTTTGTTTTAGAGACAGAGTCTCTGTCGCCCAGCCTAGAGTGCAGTTTCTCAATCATAGCTCACTGCAACCTCAAACTCCTGATCTCAAG